GTTGCACACAAAGAGTTCATTTACTGTGTGACTCTTCATGTCTAATGAAATGAGATTTCATTATGAAGCCTTTCCCACATTCACTGCACTCACAAACATTTTCTCCAATGTAACTAGGCTGTAATTAAATCCAAATGGGGTTCCAATCTCTTCTGATTTATACCTATTTTTTTTCTTATAGGGTTAAGATTTGTGCTCATATAATGGTGAAATCTCTTCATAGTCAAAATTTCATTGAAGGTGTGCAAAACTGATTTCAAAAAGTTGTCTTTGGGAGCTGGGCATGGTGGCACATGCCTTTCATCCCAGCAGTTGGGAGGCAGAGGAAGGCGATCTCTTCTCTGCCTGTTCAAGGCCAGCCTGGTCTACATTGTGAATTACAGGCCAGCTGGGGCTACAGGGAGACCCTGTCTCAAAAAGACAAAAAAAAAAAAAAAAAAAAAAAAAAAAAAAAAAGTTGTCTTTGCTTTCCCAGTACATCATTGGTTCATCAGTGGGGAATTCCTAAAAAGGACAATAAAACATTCCTAGTTTTTTGTTTCCACCATTCTGAAATAATCCCTATATTCACCTTTCTCTTCACAAGTTTTAAGAATAAAATCACTAAAGAGGAAAAGAAAGCAGCTGAAAAATGAGAACAGATGGCTTGATTTATGACCTGTGAAGACAGTAAAATATTCAAAAGTAAGTAAGTACGCTGTAAGACAGTAAGTAAAGTACACTGTAAATTAAGTTCAACTGTAGTTCAGGCCACAAGATAAGGGGACACCACCTGGGGAGATGTGATTAGTGGATGGGATTACCAGGGGAACAGGAGACAAGGAAATAAAGGGAACATATTAGAAAACAGACTAGGAAGGTGGCAGATAAGAGGCAAAGTCCTCTCTGAATTTAGATTAACCTGATAGGACATTTCCTTAATTTTTTCTTTTATATCTTTCCTCTTAATCATTCTGTATAATATAAATTTCCTTTAGGAGCATTTTTGGTTTGGGGGGTTTTTTTTGTTTTGAAAGAGGGCCTGGAACTTGCTATATAGTTGAGGATGACCTTGAATTGATGATCCTCTTGCCTCTACCTTCTGAGTACTGGGATTACAGGTGTGCACCAAGACCCCAGGTTTCAGGTTTGTTCTGAGACAGGGTCACACTGTTTAGCTTAGGCTAGCCTTGAATTTGACTTTTTTGGGGGGAGGAGGGTGTCTTTTTAAGACAGGGCCTCTTTGTAGCTCCAGCTGGCCTGGAACTCATTATGTAGACCAGGCTGTCTTTGAATTCACAGAGATCCAGATGCCTCTGCCTCCCAAGTGCTGGGATCAAAGGCATGCACCACCATGCCCGGCTTTTTTTTTTTTTTTTTTTTTTTGTCTTTTTGAGACAGGGTCTTCCTGTAGCCCCAGTTGTCCTGGAACTCAGCTATGTAGATCAGGTTGGCCTCAAACTCACTAAGATCTGCCTGCCTGTGCCTCCTGAGTGCTGAGATTAAAGGCATACCCCACCACACCCAGCATTTGGCCTTGAATTTGAAACCCTCCTGTCTACCTCCAAACTGCTAGGATTATAGGCATGTGCAACCATGACAGTTTCTGAAACTGTGTGTCAAAACCCCAATATGTGGGTTGCGTAACTGATCATGTGGATGGCAAAAATATTTGGCAATAATAAAAGATTTCTGAACATGCAAACACCCAAATTCAAACTTATAATGTATCTAAGATGTTTCTGGAAGAACTCAGCAGTGTTGTATGATTTCACCCAGACTTGGTTCTAAACATATAATGTACAGTTTGTAGTACATATGCCATCAAACCACACAACACCAATTAATACTGCTTGAAACTGTGTCAAGGCACATGTATAAAGGTCAGAGGACAACTTGGGGAAGTCAGTTCTCTCTTTCTACCATGTGGGTCCTAGGGACTGAACACAAGTCATTGGGCTCGGTGGTAAGTGCCTTTATCCACTGAGCCATCTTGCATCCCAATATTGACTGATCTTACCAAGGACTGAACCTAAGGACTTGTGTATGCTAGGAAATTGCTCTACCACTGAGCCACAGCTCTAGTTCAATGGTATCTTAATATTTGAAATGTACTTTTTAATGTTCTCTGTGTAAAGAAAAAAATTATATTGAATTATGAGGCTGGGGAGATGGCTCAGCGGTTAAGAGCACTGACTGCTTTTAGAGAAGACCTGGGTTTGATTCCTAGCACCCACATGGAGGCTATGAACCATCCTTAACTCCAGTTCCAGGGGAATCCAAAGCCCTCTTCTGACCTCCGCAGCATTGCATGACACGTGTGCACTCACATACATGCAGGCAATACACTCGTACATATAAAATAAAAATATTTTTTAAAAATTATATTGAATTAGTTTTAGATAAATAGCTAAAATCTTAAGTCTTAAATGTATATAGTATTTAAGGTGAACTATTGAGGGAAAAAATCAAATTGCTGAGAGACTGAAAAAGTGTGTCCTTCATTCTTTACTGCAACATAAATTTGAAAGTTACAGTTGGTGAGAGGATAGTTCAGTGTGTAAAGGCTCTTGGTGACAAGCCTGGTGATCTAAGTTTAATCCCTGAGATCTACCAGGGTGGACAGACAGAACCAACTGCCACAAGTTTTCCTCTGACCTACACACACACACACACACACACACAGCCATACACACACAAAAGTATTTTTAAATTTTTTGTCTTTTTGAGAAAAGATCTCCCTGTAGCCCCAGTTGGCCTAGAACTTGCTATGTAGATCAGGCTGGCCTTGAACTTAGAGATCTGCCTGTCTCTGCCTCCTGAGTGCTGGGATTAAAGACATACACCACCATGCCCAGCTAATATTATTAAGACTTTCATACAATATATTTTGACCATATTCAGAACCCCTCCCTTATCTCCTCTCAGATCCGCCTCACTTCATGTACTCTATTTGAGGGGGGGGTATTAAGACAAGGTCTCCTTATGGCCCCAGCTTGCCTGGAACTCACTAGGTAGATCAGGCTTGTTTCAATCTCACAAAAATCTTTCTCTGCTCCTGAGTGCTGGAATTAAAGTGTGTGCCACCACACCCAGTTCATGTCCTCTTATTTTTTTCTTTTTCTCTTTTTTTCATTTTGTGTTGTTTGAGACAGGGTCTCCCTGTAGCTCCAGCTGGCCTGGAATTCACTATATAGACCAGGCTGGTCTTGAACTCAGAGATTTGCCTGCCTCTGCCTCCCAAGTGCTGGGATTAAAGGCATGTGCCACCACGCCCGGCCTCTTATTATTTTTCCTTAAGGCCTATGGAGTCTTGTATTCCCCAAATGCTCTTGAGTGTGGGTCCATTTCCTGGAGCATGGTCAACCTAACCAGCATCACATTCTTAACAAAAACTTGACTCTCCCTCTCCCAGCAGCAGTCAATTGCCAATAAGTTTCTCTGCTAGGAGTGAGGCTTTGTCCTCACCTCTCTATACCATGCTGGGATTTCGTCTGGCTTGGGCTTGTGCAAGTTCTATGCATGCTGTCACAAGCACTGGGGGTTCATACATGCAGCTCCCTTGTGTCCAGAAAACATGGTTTCCTTGAATTCATCCACCATTTCCAGCTCTAGCTTTCTGGCCCCTCTTCTGAGTCTTGGTAGGAGAGGGTGCTATAGGGCCGAGAACTCTGCAGTCTCTTTTTTCTAAATATTGATCAGTGTGGGTCTCTGTGTAAGCCACCACCTGCTGCAGGAAGCTTCTTTGGTCAGAGTTAAGAGATGCTCTAATCTATGTGTATAACGAAAAGTCATTAGGAGTTGGTTTAATGTTATATCCATTTAGGAGATTAAAGTAGTAGGTTCTCCCCTACAGACTGTGACCTGTCTAATCACAGGTTCTTGGCCCTGATAACAGTGCCCGGTATGGGCTCCATTTTGTGAAGTGGGCTTTAAATCCAATCAGAAAGTGTTTGGTTTCTCCATAACATTCATACCACTATTACTCTAGTGGGCATATCTTGCCAGGCTCATCATTATTGTAGCACATAGGATTCACAACTGGGTAAGGATGATGATTACTTTTCTCTTCTGGTGGCATGGACAGCACCTTCCAGTGCTTCCAGCTCTATAAAAGCTAGCCAGTAGAAATGAAGCTTTGCAGTTTGTACTGCTTGATTTCTGTTTGTTATAACTCATATTTGTAGTATCATCAGCAATAGGGTCTTACCATCAAATTTTGGAGGGTAACCAAGGAGAGTGGCAACAGCAAACTGTACTGGATGGGTTTAAAAGTTTAAAAAGGACACAAAATTGGGTGGGTAGGGAAGGTATATGATCAAAATACATAGTATGAAATTCTCAAAGAATAAAAATATGAGGAAAAAATTGCCTGTGTGTTTACCATTATTGTGATACATTTCTACCATTCACTCTGCTGATGGGCATCTGAGTAGTTAGTTTTGCATTTGTGAAAGCACATTCTCCTTCATATCTCCTGCTATATACAGATGCATTTCTCTTGGCATATACCCAGGAGTGATATTACTGCATTATATATGTGAATACTCTTTCTCACTTCACATGTATTTTTCCTATCTAATAATTTCACTTTTATGACTTCATCTTCTTGCATCATCTCTTTGAGAATATTTACTATGATGATTTTAAATTCCTTATCTGCTCACTCTATTAGCTCTACTTCCAAAATGCTTATGTATGAACTTAAAAGAATGTGATACTGGGACTGGAGAGTTGGCTCAGAGGTTAAGAGCACTGGCTGCTCTTGCAGAGGGCCCAGGTTTGATTCCTAGCACCCACAAGGCAGCTAACAACTGTCTGTAACTCTAGTTCCAGAGAAATCCAAAACCCTCTTCTGACCTCCATGGGCATTGCAGACATGGGTGCACTTACATACATGAAGGCAATACACTCACACACATAAGTATTTTTTAAAAAGAATGTGATACCACACAATTATGTATAGTGTTCATCTTTGAAGGACTGAGATTATGAGATAAATACACACATCAATTCAACTATACTGGAAAGCATTTCATTTTTTATTATGAAAAATGTAAAAAACTGTCATTGAGAAAAAAAATAGACTTATCAGAATATGGAAGAATTTCTCAGGAAAACAATAATCGGTGAAGGATACTTTGCTACAGACATGATGTACCTCTGTCTTTTTTAACAAATGTTTCCCACACATTACTGATTCTTGGTCCTGGATTTGAATGTTATTAAAGATTATAGAAATATAAAAATTAAAAACTTTATCCGTGAAAGCCAAGCTGAGAAACTGGTGCTCTTACATGGGTATATCAAGAACAGAGAGGACCAACATTTCTGAAAGCTTACCTTCCATTTACTTGGTTTCTTTGGCTTCCGGCCCTAGCACAGAGCTGAGCCCTCTATTGCCTCTTCTCCACTCACATATATCTACATAATCACATGTCCGACACTTCCACACCTCTTCTACATCAACCCCTTGAGGACCTCGGTAGCCCATCCAGTAGGCCATATAATGCTGCACCTTGTTTCTTACTTCCTTTTTTTCAAAGGTTACAATCTCTGTACCTAGTACACTGGCAGTCTCTTGATGGATATACTCAATTTTTAGGATATCAATAACTGGGAGATCAGATAATGTAAGAGACAAGAAGACCAGTTCCATGAGGTCACCCAAAGATTTCACAGAGAAGCCTCCCTGCCGTGCATACCTCAACACTGAAGGCCCTAGTGGCTTGTCTGGACACAATTTTGTGTGGTGAATTAGGTTAGCAGGAGTCACTTTCCCTTGTATCATGTCATCAAAGATATATTTATACAGACTAACTTGAAAACAATCTTTCTTTTTCTGAGCTGACAGAGGGAGCATAGGGCGCTTGCGTGTCTTGAGTTCAGCCAGTTCCAGTTTCCCCTGGGCTGTGTAGTGCAACTCATCAATCACTCCAACAAGAAGTACTCCCTCCACTTCCCCAAACACTGGAAACTCTCTAATGCACCCTTCTGACTGCAGGGTAGGAATCATTGACAGTATGTTCAGAAATTTAATTGCCCAAGCATCTTCTTTAGTGGTGATAGGGACAGTCACAAGATCATGAAGTTCGAGTTCTTTTGCCAGATGGATGCTAGCACCAGTGTCCAAAACAGTTGCTTTCTCAGGTGTCAAAAAGCCAGGAAGTTCCTTCCCATATGCCACCTGCAATTCACACCAGTTCTGAGTACACAAGTCAGTGACATATAAATATTTCAAGTGGAATCTCTCCATGGGTGATGAGACATCCAATCCTTTTTTACAGTTCTGTAAGCTTATAGGCTTGCAATCCTTCCCAGGGAGTTCAGAAGAGCCAGGCTTGCTAAGTGAGACACTTGATTCTTCAGCATCTTCCATGTCTAGAAACTCTACCAACTCTGAGTCGCTCAAGTCTGAGAACCCTGAGGCTTCTGCTGACATTGTATCTTCTTCCCTAGTTTCTGTCATGGCAAAGCTCTGGATTGAGCAAGGAGGCACCTGCATAACATATCAAACATTGTCCAAATTAAAAAAAAAAAAACTTCTCAAACTTTCAAATTCCAATGAGTCATAAAAAAATCATGATACTGACTTACTGAATGATTCATTCACTCACTGCAGTACTGGGCACCGAACTCAGGGCTTTGTGCATGCTAAGCAAGCACTCCACTACATGCCTACCTTTTATAAGTTATTAACAGTCTTTAAAGAAGCCAGTTTACTTATGACTAATTAGTAATGCCAAAGACTTACATATAGGTATACTTTACAAACTCGGTCTTTGTATCTGTCATCTATTCATTTATGTTTATTTGGCAGATTTTTTTCCCACTTCTAGAGATAGAATTCAGGTCACTGCACAAGTTGTGCAAGTTAGGCAAGTAGTATACCAATGAGCTATAACCCTATCCAGCAGAATTTCTGGGAGACGAAAAAAGTGTTTTATTCCTGGATCTGCCACTAACATATTATGTATGACTAAACAAATCACCTTTGTTGGCCTTGATTTCATTAAGATTGCCTATTTTACTTCAAAATGCTGCAGATACGGAATAGTATTTCACTATCTTTAATGACTACAGATCTTGAGACACGTAATGATGAGAAAAAGTTCCTGTTGGGTTTTAATTACCCTTACTAGTCAGGCCTGGTGGGACATGCTGTATTTCCAGAACTTGGGAGACAGAGGAAGGAGGAAATGGAATTCAAGGTCATACTCAGCTACATAGCCAAGTTTAAGACCTGCCTGGGACCTCATCTCAAAACAACACACACACAATATTACCCTGACTTTATAAACTATCCTCTTAACTTCATACAAATTAGTTTGCTGCTACAAGGGTGTTTGCCACTAATTTTATTTTCTCCCTCAATAATACATTAGCTTATGATGAAAAACATTAGTCTACTAGCACAATTAAAACTGCAAAATTACTACAGTTAACATTTATCAGGCAAGGCGTGGTGGTGCAAGCCTTTAATCCCAGCACTCGGGAGGCAGAGGCAGGCACATCTCTGTGAGTTTGAGGCCAGCCTGGTCTACATAGCGACCAGGCCAGCTGAGGCTACAGAGACCCTGTCTCAAAAAGAACAATCACCCCCCCCAAAAAAACACATTTATTGTGTAGTTACTGTGTGTTAGATACTAAACAAGAGCTTTACACTCATCATCTCACTTTCTCTAATGTAGGATCATTCTCTTCTTTTTTTTTAAACTTTTTACTAAGAAAAATTTCTAACACAGAACCCCACAGAACAATGCACACCCACAAAATATGTTACTGTTGACATTTTGCTACAGTTGCTGCTTCTGTGCCTATTTTTTTGGCTGAACTATTTTATTTTTTTAATTTTTATTGAGCTTTAATTTTTTGTTATTTTATTTTATGTGTATGCGTGTATTGCCTGCATGTAGGTAAGTGCATCCATGTTGGGCAATGCCCGTGGAGGTCAGAAGAGGCTGTTGGATCCCCTGGGACTGGAGTTATGGACAATTGTTAGCTGCTATGTGGGTGCTAGGATTTGAAGGTGTTCTGCAAGAACAACCAGTGTTCTTAACTGCTGAGCCATCTCTCCAGCCCCCAGCTGAGCTATTTTAAAGAAAACTACAAAGCTGGGCGTGGTGGTGCATGCTTTTAATCCCAGCACTTGGGAGGCAGAGGCAAGCAGATCTCTGTGAGTTCAAGGTCAGCCTGGTCTACATAGTGAGTTCCAGGACAGCTGGGGCTACAGGGAGACCCTATCTCAGAAAGACCGAAAAAAAAAAAAAAAAAGAAAACTACAGACATCGTAACACTTCACATCTACATTCTTTTGCACATTTCCAAATGACCCTCTCCTACAATACTATTACCATAACAAAAATTTAAGAATTTCCAAACATTCAAATCCATACTCATATTTCCCCATTTTTCAGCTGTCCCAAGAAATGTCCTGCTAGTTTTTCTTTGCACCAGGAAATATTACGTTCAATTGTTTTGTCTCTCAAGTATTTGACTTTGAATACTAAGAAAATACGTAAGTTGATACAACTGAATGATACACATAACTGTAAGTCAAAAGTCTCTTTTGCTAGTCTAATAAGCAACAAATATGGAGAACACAACTTCATATTAAACCTTAAGCCAGGTGTGGTAGTGCATGACTGTAATCTCAGTACTCAAGAGGATGATGAGTTTGAGGCCAGCCTGTGCTACATAGTGAGGCCTTGTTTAAAAAAAAAATTAAGGCAATTATCATGCATGTTCTGTGTTTTCTTTTGTTTTGGAAAGAAAAATTAAATCCAAATCAATTAACCTTGAAAATATATTATTTCAGCCAGGTGGTGGATGCTGACAATCCCTGAATGGAGAAAGCTGAGACAGGAGGATTGCCATAAGTTAGAGACCACCCTAGGCTACAGAGTACCATGCTAGTCAGGCAGGGCTCCATAATGAGACCCTACCTCAGAAAACAAAACAAGAAAATATACTATTTAACCTTCTATGCATGTATGAAATTCTCAAGAAATTATTAAAAAATATATATATATATACACACACACACTATTTAAAATATTAAAATAGCTGGGCCTGGCTGTCTTAAGTAGCCACGAGACATGTGGCTACTTAATTTAGTTTACATTTTCTCAGAAAACAAAAACAACCATAAAATACATTTTTTCAGTTGTACTAGGCACATTTCAGTGCTTTATAGCTATATGATGCTAGTGGGTACCTTATAAGCCACTAATTATAACCATATTTGCCTGATCACAGAAAGTCCTGACAGTGCTGACTTGACTATTTCTTTTAATTTTAATTTTTTAGTTTTTTGGTCTTTTTCAACAGTCTCCCTGCAGCCCCATCTAGCCTGAAACTCACTATGTAGACCAGGCTGACCTCGCACTCACAGACATCTACCTGCCTCTGCCTCCCAAGTGCTGGGATTAAAAGTGTGTGCCACCATGCCCGGCTTTTATATCAGCTGCCATGCTGAAAATCAAACCCTGGTCCTCTGCAAGAACAGCCAGTGCTCTTGACTGCTGAGCCATCTCTCCACCCCTGACAGACTATTCCATACGCATGCATCAGCTCCCCAGAGAGCAAACCCGTGAAAGGCAGACTATGGAGCTTTACATTCAACACTGATAACACTGTAGTCCTAAACATATTAAAATAATGACTTGTGGAGAAGGGCATTCTCTGAGAGATTATTCACTTAAAAAAAAATTCATGGGCTAGAGAGATGGCTCAGTGGTTAAGAACACTGGTTGTTCTTGCAGAAGATCTGGGTTAAAATCCCAGCACCCACATGGCAGCTAACAACTGTCCGTAACTCCAGTCCCAGGGGACAGCTTCTTCTGACCTCTGCGGGCATTGCACAACACAGGTGCACTTACCTACATGCAGGCAATACACACATACACATAAAATAAAAATAACAAATAAAAATTAAATAAAAATTCATTAGAGACAGACAATTTAGACCCAAATATACAGCCTGGATATTCCTATGCTATTAAAAAAAAAAAACATAGTGCAGTGCATTTTTGACACCTGATGACTTTACATGGCACACGAACCAACATTTTCAGATATACCTTAGCATAATTATGAAGCTACGAGATCACCCATCAAATGCCTTATTTTATAGACTATTTCTTTCTGAATGTTTGATTTCTAAAAACATAAATAAGTACTCTGGTATGGCAATACTTATTCCATGAAAAGTGAATAGGATGTTTAGGGAACACTAGCACACTATCAAGTCTAGGGATCCTGCACTTTTGAATCTAATCCTGAGGACAGTAGAATTTCCTAGTCTGCTACTTGCTTTTGCAATAATCTTTGGCACATTTTAAATTTCCTGAAGCTATTGACACATCTTTAAAATGTGGCAGAATTGCCGGGCGTGGTAGTGCATGCCTGTAGTCCCGGCATTTGGGAGGCAGAGGCACGCGGATCTCTGTGAGTTCAAGACCAGCCTGGTCTACATAGTGCGTTCCAGGACAGCTGGGGCTACAGGGAGAGGAGAACCTGTCTCAAAAAGACCAAAGTGAGGTCAAGGCCAGCCTGGTCTACATGGTGAGTTCCAGGGCAGCTGGGGCTACAGGGAGACCCTGCTTCAAAAAAGACCAAAAAAAAAAAAAAAAGTAGCAGAACTTTTAGGATAATCTAAGCCTATTCAGCTAAAACAGTCTACAATGTGTGCTCTCCTTCCCCTCCCCAAGGAAGTGATGAGACTTTCAAAATGAGATTAAACTTTAGAAGAAAAGAAACTTCTACTCATCTAGGACCTAGTTAATTTTCCTCCTCACAGGGAAGGGTTGTAACAATGTGGCAAAGCTAGGGGAAGAGAAAGAGGCTCTGAAGACCATATTTGCATGGGAGAACCCAGATTAAGCATTTGAGGCCTCGCGACTATAGAACGTGGACTTTTGTTCATTTCTTCCCCGAACCACTCCCTCACGGTATAGTGTTTCTTCATATCTGAGCCACATTGCAGACAGCTGTCCACCAGATCCTGGAGACACCGGCCTCTCCAGGACCAAAATCCCCATGACCCATGCTCTGGAAGCAGCTACTTGACTCCATCTCTGCTCTGGACAAAGGTTAAAAATAACGAAAGTAAGCACCCAAGAAGCCTCGAGGTTGGTTTCATCCCCTGGGCTCCAATATCACCCAGAAGCCCCAACAGGAGCCCTGGGGTCAGAGGCGCCGGCCTCGCTGGTGGGTTCCTACTGCCTTTGAGTGCCTGTATCAATGTCCTGACCTGTTGCAGGTCGAGCTCCGGGCTGGCGTGTGCCTTTCTCTAACCCCCAAACCGCGGTCTCCCTGGGGTACAATGCACTCCCCACAGTGTACTAAGCCGGGAATGAGAGCAGCACCGGACCGCCGGCCTCCAGAAGAGTCTTAAGTGACCGCCAGGTGTTCCGAGAGTGAAGGTCCACAATCCACAGGAACTTGGTCCACTCCCACCCGGGGACTGGGGCAGGGGTCGAAGGCGGCGCCAACTGGGCCGCGCCAACTTGCAATCCCGAGCCCAACCTTGGATTCCGCCGCCTGCGCGGGGCTCCCACGGTCTAACAACCTCAACCAGCTCCTCGCCCCGAAGCGCTACCAGTGCCACAGCGGGATAAAACGGTCCCAGAGCCCAATCCAAGAATTCCCGGCAATGGCTGCAGCCCCGCCCCTTCCCAGACGCCTCCGCAGCGCCACCTCATTCTCGTGAGACTGTGATTCCGGCGGGAGTTACATTGGCCAGGGCCGAACAGGCGGAGGATGGGCTGCAGGAAGTGAATTTTGAGGACTTCCCGCCCGCCGGCCTGTCTTGTGAGCTTTGCTGCCTGGAGTAGTTCAGCGCGGTGGGCACTGGTTGCCACCTGACCTGTTAGCCTCCTCCGTGGCGGTCTCCTGCCCGCTCCGGTCCCCGAGGCTGGCGTTTGTGCAGACGGGGCTACTAGGCTTGTCACCGCCGGGAAGCCTGAATCCGGATCCTCGCACCGGCCCTCTCAGTTAAGCAGCAACTAGCGCATCTCTGATTAGTTTACATCCAACCTTCTTATTGGGGAATATGAGTTATTTTCTGAAACACAAAACGAAGGTAAGTATTCCGAGTTTTCAACACACACATCATCAGAGCAAAAATTAAGCAGGTTTAAGACCGTTCCCAAACACACCTCCTGAGGCAAACATTAGCCTGACATGACGTGCACTTCTAGGCCTTCTTAAAACTTTTAATAGTAAACTTATGAGGTGGCACTGCATAGCAATAGAGGAGGGAAATGGTCTTTTTAGTGAGCGATCTGTGGCAATGTAGATTATCATGAAGAACATAAACGTGGTCTTCCACTAGACCCGTGGGATATTAAATTGCAAGGCTTTTAGAATATAATGTGGGAAAGTATCCTTTGGACTTAAGAGTAGGATTTAAATTTTTTTAATTTTTTGCTTTTTGAGACAGTTTCATTAGGCTGTCCTCACATGGAGTAACCTTACAATTTCTGCCTCAGTGCTCAGATCACAGGCATGCACCACTATGCCAGGCTTAAAAAAAAAAAAGTTACTTTGATTTTATGTGTATAAGTTTTATTGCCTGCATGTATGTAAGTGCACCCAAGTCATGCAGTGCCCGAGGAGGTCAGAAGAGGGCATCAGATCCCTTGGAACTGGAGTTAAGGATGGTGTTAGCCACCATGTGGGTGCTGGGAATCCAGAATGGGTCCTCTGCAAGAGCAGTCAGTGCTCTTAACCGCTGAGCCATGTCTCCAGCCGCCCTGGCTTTGTTTTTTGAGACAGATTCTCAGTCCAGAGCCTAGGCTGGCCTGTTGCTTGAGGTCCTTGTGCCTCTGCTTTGCTAGTGCTGGGCATTGTGCCGCCATGTGCAGGTTGTTGTTGGTGGCCCACAAATAGGATAAGGCCTATCTCTGGTTTGTTAAGTAAACTCAGTCAAGAATTCAGGGGTTCATCCAAAAAGCATCAGTTAGTTTAATGAAGTATATTTTATATTATTCTCTGATATGTGGGAGGATGAGTAGATACCAAAGAAGTTGGGCAGAAAGAAAAGGAAATTGCACGGTTGGGGATGAAAACTCATGAAATAGTGTAAATGTCCTGGCAGGAACAAATATAGACATCTGTGCCCCTTCCTTGGGCAGACTATTGAAACAGTGGACCCAGAGAAATTAGAATTTCCCCAAGAATCATGGCAGAGGAAGCGAAAGGCTGAAGCCTCATGCCAGCCAGAGGAAGAACTTGTCTCCCAGGAAGAGATTGCATACACAGAGCTTCAGACCACCTTGCAGGAGAGAGGCGCTGAGACAGTGAGGGGCAGGACCACATTGACCAGGGCTGCTTACTTATGCATATTTCTTGTCCTCTATTTACACTTATCAGGACCCCTGGAATGGTGGTGGGGTTACTCACACTTGGAGTAACCTTCCAGTTTATTTGTTCCTCTTGCCAAAGTGGCCACATTGGTTGAATAAATCTTTCTCTGCTTTTCATTATTTCTTTAGTGGCATATTGAGGGCGAGGAGCTGAGCCTAAACCTAACTTATTTTCAGAGCTCACACTTTGGCCATGAAAACACCATGAACAACAGCATGGAATAACTGGGAATCACAAAATCTTACAGCAGAACCAAAGATGTTTGGGTGGTGTCCTAGTTTGTTCTTCATTGCTGTGACAAAACACTCTGACCAGCACCAACTTGGGAGGAAAGGGTTTATTCCGCTTACATCTCCCAGGTCGCAGTTCATCAGGGAGCCCAAGGTAGGAACTCAGGGCAGGAACCTGGAAGCAGGAGCTGGAGTACAGGCCATGGAGGAATGTTGCTTACTGGCTTGCTCCCCTGGCCCCTGCTCAGCCTGCTTTCTTATGCAATACAGGCCCACCTTCCCAGGGGTGGCACCACCCACAGTGTGCTGGGCCCTCCCACATCACTCAACAATCAAGAAGGTGCCCTATGGACATGGCCACAGGCCAGTCTAATGAAGGCAATTCCCCAACTGAGGCTCCCTCAAACCAGGTGTGTCAAGTTGACACTAAAGCTATCGGGCACAGGTGGAAATCTGGGAATGGAGTGTCTCCTAGAAAAATAGGCAATATTCAATATCAAGGGTTCTATACTTTAAAAAATGACCTTTGGGCAGGATAGACAACTCAGCGGTTAAGAATACTGACCAACTGCTCTTGCAGAGGACCCGAGTTCAATTACCAACACTCACATTGTGGCTAATAACCGTCTGAAACTCCAGTTCCAGGGAAATCCAGTGCTGCCTTCTGATCTTCCTGGGCATTGTATGACATGGCTGCACTTGCATGTAAGCAATGCACTCACACACAAAATAATATATATTTTTTAAATGACCTTTCTTGGGGCTGGAGAGAGAGCTCAGCGGTTAAGAGCACTGACTGCTCACAGAGGATCTGGGTTCAATTCCTAGCACCCACATGGCGGCTACAAACCGTCCTTAACTCAGTTCCAGGGGAATCCGATGCCCTCTTCTGACCTCTGCAGCATTGCATGACACAGGTGCACTCACATACATGTAGGCAATACACTCACACATAAAATAAAAATATTTTTAAAAAATGACCTTTGTCTTCATGTAATGATAAATCATTGAAGGATTTTAAGCAGTACGTAGTCGTAGGGAGGCTAGAGAACAGATTTGCTAAAGGAAGATCAGCTGATGGTCTAAGCAGGAACCCAATGAAGGGTAACTCTCAGAGAAGAGAAAATGGGAACATCCTAGATCAGTACTTTGTGGTTAACTGGGGGAGATAATGGATGAGAACAAGTTCCAGCTGAAGAATTGGATCAACTTTGGGTGGTATGACTTTCTGAGGTAAGGAATACAGAGTTTATTGAAAAGATCACAAGTTTTCAACATACTTACTTTGAAGCAACTATAGTGTAATATCAAGTAGCGAGATCCACATTGAAAATGTCTGGAGCTTGAGAAAGAGTTCCAATGGAGATTTAAGAAGTGTGGAATGTTGCTGGGTGTGGTGGCAAATGCCTTTAATCCAGCACTCAGGAGGCAGAGCCAGGTGGATCTCTGTGAGTTCGAGGCCAGCCTGGTCTACATAGTGAATTCCAGGACAGCTGGGGCTACAGGGAGACACTGTCTCAAAACAAAACAACCAAAAAAAAAAAGTGTGGAATGTCAATGATATTAGACAAAGTGTGTAGCTATAGAAGAATGGGCTTCATGGCACAGCCAAGGGGAAGAGTATTTCTATGATTAGTGGAAGAAGTGCGTGTATAGTAAACAGTATCCAAACAGGCACTGGCAGTAAGCCAACAGGAAAGCTCTTGCAAGGTTGTCCAATTTGCAGCCACATGCACACCAGGAGAGCTATGAAGCCCAGCACAAAATTGCAAAGTTACTTTAAAAATTGAGATTTCTTTTTAATTTTAAAATTATGTTCATTTATTCAGTGTGCATATGTGGAGGTCAGAAGAGAACTTTGAGGAGTTAGTTTGATCCTACCATATGGGTCTCAAGGAGCCAACTTGAGTCATAGGTCAGGCAGCAAGTGCTTTTACCCGTTGTGCCATCTTGCAGGCCCAGGTAGTGGTTTTTAAAGAGTTAATCAGTGAGCTCATGAAGAAATAATTTATTGGTCTACCATGAAATCATAAAAATTATGTTGTGAATTTTTCATAATGCAGTATTATTTTGCAGAAGTGTCAAACAGTAGTATCAATGTATTTACAATATAGACAAAATAAAAAAATTGCCATTGTTAATATCAGTTTCTCAAATTTATTTCATTCCTAAAATTTTAAAGCTTAGAATCACCAACTTAGATTTGGCTTTTCTCATGTATCTTTTTTTTTTTTTACACATTATTTCGGAGCGTGTTCCTCCTGTGTATCTTATGATGCCGGCTCAGTGATGAATTATAGCTGAAAGACTTTCCACATTCATTACATTCATAAGGTTTTTCTCCAGAGTGATGTCTCTGGTGTTTCTTAAAGGATGAATCATGCCTGTAGGCTTTTCCACAACGGTTGCATTCATATGCTTTCACTCCTGTATGAACAGTTTTATGGTTACTAAGGTGAATCCTCTGCCTAAAAGCTTTTCCACAGTCCTTACATTTGTAGGGTCTCTCCCCAGTATGGATTCGTTGGTGATGAGTGAGATATGCCCTATGACTGAATGTTTTACAACAGGCAGTGCATGCATAGGGCTTCTCCCCAGTGTGAATTCTTACATGCTCACTAAGGTGTCTAATCTGGCGAAAAGTTTTCCCACATTCATTGCAAATAAAGGGTTTTTCTCCAGAATGAGTCCTCAAATGTTGGATCAAGCTAATGTTCTGGCTGAAGGCTTTCTGACATTTGTCACATACAAAAGGTTTCTCCCCAGTGTGAGTTCTATGATGCTGATTAAGTGATGAGCGATGTCTGAAGGTTTTGCCACATTCCTCACATTCAAAGGGTTTCTCACCTGTATGGATTCTCTGGTGTGTGTTAAGAGATGCACTCTGACTAAAGGCCCTTCCACATTCCTTACATCTGAAAGGTTTCTCACCAGTATGAATTCTCATGTGTTCAGTAAGGTGAATGGGTTGTTTGAACATTTTTTCACATGTACTACATTTGTACATTTTGGTTCTTAGGTAACTTACTGGACGATTAATCAAATCTGCTTTATATTTGTTCTTCCTTCTAGCTGGGTTGTATTTATGGTGCTTCTGTTCTAAAATAACATTTGAATTCACAGTATTTTTCCCAAATTTGTTAATCTTTTGGTTTCTCCTTTTGTGAGTCACAATGGCTTGTCTCCCATCTTTCCCACAGGTTTCCCGGTGCCTTTCTAATGCATCATTGTATCTGGAGACTTTTCTCAATTTGGAACAAATTCGATCATCCTTTATGAGCCTTCCCATCATGATGCCATGGTATAGCTGCTCCCGGGAAATGTCATTTTCTGCAGTTGACTCATTGGTTTCTATTTTACTCTTCATGGCTAAAAGAAATAAAAAATGCAGATAACTCATATTCATTATGCTTTGAAAAATCACCTAGACTGGCTGGTCACTGAGCTTCAGAGGTCCTCCAGTCCTGGGGTTACAGATGCGTACCCCTATGCTTATGTGAGTACTGAGGATCTAAACTCAGGTCCTCATACTTGTATGGCAGTAATATGACGACTAATCCACCCCCCAGCCCTTTCCACTTTATTTTGTGAAATAGGATCTCTTGTAGAACCTGGAGCTTCCCAATTCAGCTAGACTAACTGGTCAGTAAGCTCTAGGGATCCTTCTGGCCCTTGGCTTTTTTTTTTTTTTTTTTTTTAACAGGGATTAAAAATCCTCCTAGTGCTTGCATAGCAAGCACTTTACTAACTGAGTCATCTCCCCAGCCCCTTTATATTTTTTTAAGGCAGTATCTCATGTAGCCCAGGTTGGCTTTGAATTTACTGTGTAGTAAATGAACTTCTAATCCTCCTGCCCCCAGCTCTTAAGTGCTGGGATTACAAATGTGTACCACCATGCTTGGTCTAAAAGACAGTACTTTTAATACATGAAAGATAGGCTGCAGAGGGGGAAAACACTGCAAAAGATGAAAGTATCAAGCATTAGAATCCAGAATCCTCATGCTCCCCCCGCCCCTTTTTCTCTCCTCCTCTCTATCTCCCTCTCTCTGGTTTTTTTGTTTGTTTTTTTTAGTCAAGATCTCACTGTTACCCTGGAACTCTGAGTGATCCTCATGCTTTAGCCTCCCAAGTGCTAACACTGTAGGTGTGTATCACCACCACATCATTTTTTTGGTCTTTTTGAGACAGGGCCTCCCAGTAGCCCCAGCTGGCCTGGAACTCACAATGTAGACCAGGCTGACCTCGAACTCACAAAGATTTGCCTGCCTCTGCTCCTGCGTGCTGGGATTAAAGGTGTGCACCACCACACCCACTTTTTTAAAAAATATAAATTAGTAAGAAAGAAAATAAATACTAAAAATGTGACAAATGATACAAACTGTAATTTACAGAGGCGGAATCCTGGATGGATTGTGAGTAAACATAAGAAATATGCTTCCTGGGCTAACCCTGGCAACCTGAGTTGGATCTCCTGGACCCATGTGGTGAAAGGAGAGGACTCCTGACCTCCACCAGTGTGCCATGGTATATACACAAACACACAGTGTAATAAAATGTTTCCTCTCATTAGTAACCAAGAGAATTAAAGAAATTGTACTATATTCATCCAATGAATTTAAAGTGCTGACAAGAATGCTGAGTTATGGGAACTCTCAAAACCTGCTGACAGGAATACCTAGTGAAACTGCTTAAAAAGCAATTTGGTACTGCCTAGCAAAGTAAAGGTGCCTCTGTTCCATGACCCAACAATTCTGTTTCACCCAACTATCTTAGAAAAATACTTGCATATTTATATGAGCAGATATGTATGTGTGTATGTGGAAGTTGAACATAGCATCTGTGTAAACTCCAAATTTAGAAACAGTGCGCCTATCAACAGAAAAACAATTGTGGTTTGTTAATTCATTGAAAATAAATGCCCTAGAATGAAGATAAACATCAATGATGTTGAATGAACTAGCAAAAGAATGTGCAAAACAGTGCTCCTGTTTAGGCAGATACAAAAAGTGTGAAGAAAAATGGGAGCGATCTAAACTCGGAAGAGGTTATTTCGAAAGGAGGGGAACAGGGGTTTCAACTGTCTTATTTCTTGATTTAGGTGGATGCTATATAAAAATTGGTTATGCAAAGAATAAGTAACTGGGATGTGCAGCCCCAAATGATACATCTACAGTGCAACCTCTACACCTAAGGTGCAGGGAACATAATGGAGGAAGGGGTGGAAAGATTATAAGTGTCTAAGGACCAAGGCACCTGTGGCTAGACAGTGTCTTCTAGACAAGACAGAGAAGCTGCACCCATGAAATTGCAATATGGTTGTCTAAACAAGACTTGCATAATGACAACAGTTTACATGTCAGTGTGGATGGGGGAAATTTCACCTGTAGATGAAAAGTTACAGGCAATCTGGCTGCTGGGGGAGAAAGAATCAGTTTTCTCCAGGGACAAGGTCCTGATAATCCAATCCCAAGTGGTCAGCCCTAAACACATATACACACAGGCACCACTAAATGGCTTCAGTGTGTATGGATATACAACAATAATAATAATAAAAAAAAGAGATCACAATATTGAAAGGGGCATGCAGGAGTTGGAGGGTATAGAAGGGAGGAGACGATGTAAATGCAGTACTCGTATGAAATTCTCAAAAAATTTAAAATATTTAAAATTGTTATAATGATCTCTGTATTTTTAAAATTTTTATTTTTGTGTATATGAACGTTTTGCCTGTTTGTATGTAAGTGCACCACATGCGATGCAATGCTAATGGAGGCCAGAACAGGGCGCTGGATCCCCTGAAACTGGATTACAGATAGTTGTTAGCCACCATGTGGGTGCTGGGAACTAAACCTGGGTTCTCTGCAAGAGCAGCCAGTGCTCTTAACCACTGAGCCATCTCTCTATACAGTCTCTGTATTTTTCATTTGAATGTCTAAAATTTTTCATAATAAAAGCAAAGTTTATAGATTGCTAATCACCACTATATTTAGTGAGAAGGGAATACTGTGTTAATTTTTAAAATAACATTTATTTTTATGTAGGTATGTGTGGGCATGCATATGTCACAGCACATATGTGAAGATCAGAAGACAAGTTTTGGGAGTTGGTTCTCTCCTTCCACCTTGTGGATCCAGTGATCAAATTCAGGTCTTCGGGCTTGGTGGCAAGCACCTTTACGTGCCGAGCCATCTAGCCAATCCTCTTGTAGGAATTTTTATGAAGCAGTTAATAAAAGTATATACACAAGGTAAAAAGAACCAAGGCGCTCAGTGGTTAAGAGCGTTAGTTGCTCTTGCAGAGAACCCAGTTTCAATTCCCAGCACCCACATGGTGGCTAACAACCATCCATAACTCTAGTTCTAGAGGATCCAATGCCCTCTTCTGACCTCCTTGGGCACTGCACGACATTGGTGCACTTACATACAAGCTGGCAATACACAAAATAAAAATCATAAGTAAAAAAAAGAGAACCAAAACCCAAGTTGGGATTATTAAATAATGGGAGAAGTGGAATAGAATGCAAGAGAAAATTAAAAGATGTGTGGAATGCAATGTGACCCTGAAAAAGAACCCTTATATTAGAGGGACCACATATATTTATTTAAAGAAAGGAATTTCATGTTTCAGACCTTAAAGATACTGTAAGGGAATCAAGTTTAATTTTAATAAGGACGACACATCTCTTCCCTCCAGCTGCAGAGAGACTTTGGCAAACACTCACTGAGGGAAAGGGGCAATGGAAGGAGGGGTGAAATGAAGTTTAGTACAGGTACTGCCCACCAGCCTGAGCCTTCCCCAAAGCCTAGGGAGACCCTGGTCTCACCTGAAATGGGATCTTCTGAACTTTCACTCTCTGCCACCCATGGTCCTTCTCCTTTCTCCAACTGGGAAATCACACTAGGCTTGGAAAGTTGATACCCTATTTATGGAATGGAAAAAAAAAAAGTATGAATGTTTATGTTGCTATTTAAAACCCATCCCCAGAGTCTGGGGTTTCTGAAAATGGTCAGGGACACATCTTTCTACTATAGCTCTACAAAACAAAACTGTTCCTCAAGAAAGTAGAATCAGATACGCCCTGGCTTGGTTTCCAAAAGAATAAGATACCTCTAATACAGAACCCAAGGGCAAACTTCAAGGAATCCATGACCCCAGTCATTTAGAAATAATGGCGCTCCTGTAATGGGCAGGCTTGTGGCCTGTGGGCATGTCTGTTGCAATGGGGAGATGTGAGTGTGTGTGTCCCGCTTGTTAATTCATATGGGAAGGACCTTTCTCTGGGTTTGGATCCTGGACTATACTGAAGTAGAAAAGGCTGGCTGAGAGCACAAGCGAACAAGGATGTGCTTATTCTTTGCACTTGAATGTGGGGGTGATCCTTTAAGTTCTTGCTTTGACTTCCCCACAGTTACGGACTACAGCATGAATTTTTTTTTTTTATTCCATGTGTATGAGAGTTATGCCTGCATGTAGGTGAGTGCAGCCATGTCGTGCAATGCCCGCAGAAAACAGAAGAGGCTGGCTGTTGGATCCCCTGGAACTGGAGTTATGGACAGTTATTAGCTGCCATGTGGGTGCTGGGATTCAAACCTGGGTCTTCTACAAGAACAACCAGTGTTCTTAAGTGCTGAGCCATCTCTCCAGCCCTATAACATGAAATTTTAAGCCAGACAAACTCTTCCTTCCTTAAGTTGCTTCTGTCAGGATATTTTATCACAGCAACAGAAATGAAACTAAAACAGCTGTTCTATCCTTACCCACTGACACCAAGTTCCTGTAGTTCTCCAGCATTACTTCCCGATACAAATCCCGGTAAGCAGGAGCCAGTTGCCCCCACTCTTCCTGAGATAAGTCCACAGCTATGTCCTTGAAAGTCAACAGTTCCTAGAATATCAAACAGAATGAGTCAGAGTCCACCCCTATCAAAGTCTAAGGCGCTCTGGCAGTATTCTAAGTTCTGAGAGATTCCAAACTAGTTTTACCAGAAGCAGCCTCTGGATCTGTCTGGAGATTTTCTGGAGATTACTATAAATATATATAGCTACCTTTAGAAAAATTAAGTAGGACAAGAGGAGCAGGGAAAGCCAGTGGGAGTAGAGGTGATCTCTTCTGGGGGTGTTGTGGAAATCAGTGTGCTGTGAAACGGTGCTAGAAGTATGGATTCAATGAGAAGTCGAATGGACGTCTGAGGAAAGGGTATTCCAGGCTGGCATCGCACAGGGCCTCAGGTTGAACATCCTTAGCCTGTCTGAGGAGCACGAACAGCATGGATGGAGGCAGCTTTGGGAAAGAGGAGAGTGGAAAGAAGGCCAGAAAGAAGTGGGACAGGGAAAGAGGTACTTTGCCTTAGCACTTACTATCCCTAAAACCTATACACTATTTTAAACATTTTTTAGGTAGTACACACAGAATTAGGTTTCATTATAGCATTTTCAAACAAAATTTGTTTTCATTCTCCAATCCCTCTTCTCCCCTATGCCCACCCCCATTTGTATCCCACCAGCCCAGCCATAGCCTCCTTTCTACTTTCCTGTCACTTATGTCCTACTGCCCTCTCCCTCAACACCTCTTTCCCCTTCTTGGTCTCCTTACTGCTCACCACACTTACCCCTACCTTCACACATACATATAGACATAAGCTAGGATCCACACCCACATATATGAGAGAGCATGATTTTTGTCTTTTTTGTTTGTGTTCCCTTGCTTGACATTTCCAGATCCATACATTTTCCTGCAGATTTCATGATTTCATTTTTCTTTGCAGCTTAATAAAATTCCATTGTGTGTATATACCCATTTTCATTATCCATTCACCTGTTGATGAATACCTAGGCTGGTTCCATTTCCTTGCTGCTGTGACTAACAGCAATAAACACAGATGTGCAGGTCTCTCAGGGGTAGGATAGAGTGCTTTGGGTATGTGCCCAGGAATGAAATAACAGTCATATGGGAGTCTTTTAATTTTTTTAGAAGCCTACATAAGTGCATAGTGCTTGTATTAATTTACACTCTAGCAGTGAATAAGGATTCCTTTCCCCTACATTCTTACCAGCCTTTATTGCTGCCTCTTGATGATCGCCATTTTGACTGGGATGAGTTGGAATCTCTGAGTAGTTTTAATTTGCATTTTCCTGATGCTGAATACTTTTTAAGATACTGGCCATTTATGTTTCTTCTTTGAGAACTGTCTGTTCATTTCATTAGCCTATTTAATTTATTTGATCTTTTTGATCTCCCTGTAGCTGCAACTGGCCTGGAACTTGATATGTAGACCAGGCTGGCTTGAACTCACAGAGATCTGCCTGCCTCTGCCTCTGAGTGCTGGGATCAAAGGCATGTGCCACCACGCCTGCCTTCATTAGCCCATTAATTGACTGGCAGTTTTGTTTTGATTTGGTTTTGACAAAATACCTATGCATTATTGCTGAGCTTGAATCCTGAGGGCTAGGAGGACTTTAACTCAAGATGAACAAAATTGGAACTGGATTCTGAATACTGAAAAAAGAAAATGGCTCAACCCCTCAGGGATGGGCAGCATTCGTGCAGCTGGGCTAGGAAGAGGCAAACTCAGTCAAATCAGAGCTCAGCCATGGCTCTGGAATAGTCAGCCCCTCATCTTAACTACCCACCACAGGAAAGGGCTTAGTCTCCTGGAATTAGAACAAAAGAAAACAAATTATCTATTTACCCCACCTCCCCTTATACACACTTCATATTCCACCCTCCTTTTACAGATATATCTGTGTAGTAAAAATTAATAAACATGAGCTGAGCACACCTTTAGTCCTAGCACTCAGGAGGCAGAGGCAGGCAAATCTCTTTGAATTCAAGGCCAGCCTGGTCTACATATTGAGTTCCAGGCCAGCTGGAGCTATAGGGAGACTCTGTCTCAAAAAGACCCAAAAACAAAACAAAACAAAAACGTGAATGGACTGGGGAAGGAGAAACAAGGGAAATGCCAGTACCACAGGAGTAAAATGATTTGTGACATTATCCTATCAGGAGTTCACAGATGCACAAAGGACACAAAGGCATTTTGCACTGACACAGCTGCTGCACCAGTTAAAATGAGGCCTTGTAAGCTTGCATATCTACTATGTAACATTTGCTGGGCTGATGGCCATGCCTGTTCATTAAGTCTGTGGACAAGTATGTGCACATATTCCTTAAGTGCATGCACTTGAGACCTAAAAATCTTTATGATTAGACGAAACACCAGAAACAGGAGGAAAATAACACCACAGAGGAATAGCTCAGCCTCGACAATGGGTGGTCTCAGCTAATAGATCAGCCATGGTTTCTTTGCTCCCTTAGTTCTTTGGATATGGCTATATTTATAGGCTTGGAGATGAACTGAAAATAACTGATGCTGGATAGAAGAGCCTTGTGTTTTATTATGGCAGCTTTTTTTTTCTTGTAACATGGTGATTGGATTGAATACAAAGTAGCTGATTAGCTGATACCTCTTCTTCCTGGATGAGTAAACAGATGATTAAATATTGATGTTAGGGGTTGTGGAGCATGAGGAGCTGAGTATGGATTCCTATCATCCATATAAAAATCAAGCATGGTGATGTGGGGTGTGAGGGTTGAGGGGGGCTTGCTGGCTAGCAAGTCTAGATGAAACGGCAAGCTCCAGATTCAGTCAGAGAATCGTGATAAGGTGAACTGTGATAGAAAATATCCAGTATCCACCTCTGACCTCTATGCAAACACACATGACGGGCATGCACAACTGCACACACAAATATTGATGTCAACATCCTTAAACATACTCAAATGTTTGGCTACTGCTTCTGTTTGAAATAATGCTGTGTTCTGATTCTGGTCTGAGGCTCTGAAGTACTACTTGGCATCTCTTTTCTTTCTCAGAGCTCTTACTGTTCAAATAGGACAATCTGGTAAAATGCTAGTTAGATTGTGAGTCTGGCTTGCTTTGGTCATCTTAGTATGAATCCAATGGTTGTGGAGTTTGGTTTTAGAAGTATTTATATACAGGTGATATATAAATATATAAAAATTTATAATAATAAACATAATAAAACTCTATACACACATGTATATTATATAAGTTTTTAGCTAGTGTCCATGACAAGAGTAAATACTTAGAAATGTGCTGCTATGCTGGGCATGGCAGCTAATGCCTTAGTCCCAGCACTCAGAAGGTAGGGACAGGTGAATCCGTGAATTCAAGACCAACCAGGACTATATAATGAGACCCTGACTCAAGAAAAAAAAACAAAAAACAAAAAACAAAAAAAAGGGGGGCTGGAGAGATGGCTCAGCAGTTAAGAGCACTAGCTGCTTAGCTCCTTTTGCAGAGAACCTAGGTTCAGTTTCCAGCACTCACACAGTGGCTAACAACTTTCAGTAACTCTAGTTCAAGGGGAATCCCATGCTGTCTTCTGGTTTCCATGGGCACTGCATGACACAGGTACACTTACATGCAGGTAATACATTCATACACATAAAATAAAAATAATAAATATTTAAAAATAAAAAACCAGAAAGGAAAAAAGGAGGGGAGGGGAGAGGAGGGAAGGGAGGAGAGAGGAGAGGAGAGGAGAGGAGAGGAGAGGAGAGGAGATAGGATTTCCTCTCTATCTAACAAAGTGCACTTCTTTACAAAGCTATGTCAGAAGCCTTTGGGCCCTCTGCTGGAAAAGCAGAAATCAAGTATCAAATAATGCCTTTTATTCTCATTCATTCATTCATTCATTCATTTTTATATTTTGGTCTTTTTGAGACAGGGTCTCCCTGTAGCCCCAGCTGGCCTGGAACTCACAGAGATCCTCCTGCCTCCTCTGGGACTAAAGGCGTGCACCACCATGCCTGGTCCTAAATAATGCCTTTTAAATTGTGTCCTCTAGTGTGATAGATATAGGACAGTACTGTGTCATACCCCTGTGGGTATAAAATATTTACTTTATAATATGTAATAGTGACTACGCTTTATCAGAGCTGTTTTAAATGATGTTACTCTAGAGTGTCCACTTTCCAGGTGATGGGTGAGAAGCTATAAAAAAATGTGCCAGTTGTCACAACAGTAACAGAATTTGGCTGTTTT